GGCCACCCCGCGTGGCCCAGATGCCCAGCAGATGTGTCTCCCAGGCTGCAAGCCCTGCTTGTCAAATTCCATGGCCCCTCATGCCTCACACCCATCTCAATTAAAAGCAGGAGACCCCTTCCTGGGGGGAGGGGGGCGTTGCTTGACGCAAAGTGGAAATAGAAATGGGCTGGACATGCTCCTGGTGGGGGGTCTAGTCTGGAGTTGGGGGAGGGACAGAGAAATGCCAGCTGGTGGAGGAGGCCACCATGGCAGAGCCTGAGGGAGGTTCCTACAGGCCAAAGGTCATGGGGGGCACGCTGCAAAGGCTCCAGAGCGCAGTCCTCTGAGCTGCACGTGGAGGCCCTCAGGGGAGGGGTGGTGTGGGCAGAGGTCTCAGACAACCCTCCGGACCTTTCCCCGAGCGCCTGGGTCGGGTACGGCGGGCGGCATGCGGGTTCTAAGGGAGCTGTCCCGGGACGAGGTCCCCTGAGGCAGCGCCTGCTGACAGCGTAAGACACACCCAGACGTGGGGCTCCAAGGGGACATCTGACTCGCATGTGCTTCTCCTGGCACCAGAAGTGCCCTCCCTGCGGGAAAATGTCCCCCACCCACTTCTTCACAGCCTGGGTGGGGCAGGATCTGAGCAAGAGGCTGTGTGCGTTCCTAGCGGAGGCTGGGAACCAGGCCGGCTTCTGGGTGCAGGCCCCGCAGACAGACGGGGTCCACGGAGGTGGGGGCCTCTGTCCTGCAGGGGCCACAGGAGGACCCGGGGCAGCTCTGGGGCACACAGTGGCCTCTCCCGGGCTCTGCTCGGCCCCACGTGGTAGAGGTGCCTGTGGCCACACAAGAAAGTCGCGGTGCCAGGCCCAGAGGCACCTGGACATCAGCCACACAGAAAAGGGTGAGGACGGCCCACAGGCCGAGCAGCAGGGCAGCGCTGCTCCTCCAGGCTCGAGAGCAGGGATGGCCCGAGTCCTGAGGAGGAAACAGCCTCCTGCTCCCCCTGCGTGAACCCAGGAGGCGCAGCTGTTGCTGGGGCATCACCCCCAGACCCTGTGAAGAGGGACTGGGATGAGATGGGGTGCCTCTGGGAGGGGTCTCCTCTGGCCCGGGCCCTGGAACTCAGTCGAAGGTCCTTTGTTTCTCTCCTCCCTTGAAGAGAAGCGACCAGGCCTGGCCTGGAGCGAGGGGCAGTGTCTGAGCCCTGCCCTGGCCTCCAATGGCTGCCCTTTGTGCTCCCCCTAAAGCCCAGCCTCCCGGTCCGGAAGCAGCTCCCTCCTGCCCCCTGAGGCTGGAGCCAACGTGGACAGCCCGAGCGTGCCCGGTCCAGAGGAGGGCCTTGCGGGGCTGGAAGACGTGGCACAAGCCAGGAGGGTTGGGGTGAGGGACCGACCTTGGGCACCGGGCACACACAGGGGTCTGGAGAAGACCAGGACCCAGCTCTCTGGGTCAGAAAGGCCTGTGTCTGCTCAGGCCTACCCCACAGCAGAGGCCACTCCGACCCACTGGGGCCTCATGCAGCCCCCACGGTGCTCCTGCGTGTGATTGCCCCCCTCCCCACCCCCCATCCATTCATTCAGGAGCCAGTCTTGTCCTCCGCAGCAAAGGCCTTGAGACTATCATTCATTCACTCATTCATTCTTTCCTTTCCTTCTGCGAGTCGGGTGAGACTCAACGGGGCCATGATATTTGGCCGAAGTTGCACAGGGCACCTCCAGAAGGTGCTCCTGCCACGTCGGTCGGATCCATCTTCCCCAAATATGCCCGCTTGTCCTGCCCGCCCTCCTGTCCCCAGGCGTCTGCCAAGGGGTCATGTCTGGTCATCGATTTATAATAGGAAGCAGCTCCATCCCTCCCCTGAAGCTGGGCCCAAGGTGGTCAGACTGTGGGGGCCTCAGAAAAATAAACTCAGTTCAGCCAGGTCCCGGCAGCCCTGCCCGCCATGCCCATCGCCAGGCAGGCCAGCGCCATGCCCTGGCCACAGTGCCTGGGCGCCGCCGCCCCCGCAGGAAACCCGCTCCTGGAATAACTCGGTCTGAGGTGAACGCCCGGGGCAGGGCTGGGCCCTGGCGGCTCTCACAGCCAGGAGAGGCCCAGGCCGGTCCTCAGGGGGGAGGAGGTGCAGCCTCATCCTCCAGTGCCGAGGACGCCCTGACCCGACACACAGAGCCCAGGGGCCTGGGTGGAGGCACAGGGCACCTCCAGGAAGCCATGGCCTGAGTCGCGGTGCAGCCATGTGCCCTGCCCTCCGGCGACTCTCCGTCTATGCAGGAGGACCTCGGGACCAGGACCCTTGACAGGGCAGGTGCCAGATGGAAATATGAGGCCCCTGGTTCAAAAGGCATTAAGAATTTCACGACAGTGAGAGCAGAGCGCTAGCCCAAGCACCAGGCCCTTCTCGAGTGCCTGACGCACGTGGCCAGCCCCGGTCAGCAGAGCCCTTCAGAATCCCAGGGCCTGCGGGGTTTGGTCAATGCGAGCCTTGCCCTGGCCTGTTTGGCTCAGAGCATAGAGCGTCGGCCTTCGGCCTGAAGGGTCCCTGGTTCGATTCCGGTCAAGGGCACGTGTCTGAGCTGTGGGCTCGATCCCCAGCAGCATGACTCTCTCTGTCCTCCCTCCAGTCATCACTCTGTGCTGTGTTTTCAACTGCCGTGTGCCGCGGACGCGGAAGGAGATCGAAGCCCGGTACCTGCAGCGGAAGGCAGCCAAGATGTACACCGACAAGCTGGAGACGGTGCCGCCCCTCAACGAGCTCACAGAGGTGCCCGGAGGTGAGGGGCCGGTCCCAGCCCGCCAGCACCCGACCCTGCGGAGCCAGCCGTGCCTCAGGCCTGCCCCCCAGTAGGTTCGGGGGGGGAGGGGCAGCTCCATCCCTGGGCACTAGAACACGGAAACGGGTCAGCGTGAGGCGGGTGGAACAGAGCGGTACTGTGCAGGTGGGAGAGGTGTGGAGGGAAGGAGGCAGTGAGGGGCTGGGCGTGGAGGCTGTGGGTGAGCCTCGGGTGCTGTCTCACGCCTGCCGCACGCCCTTTATCCCACAGACGACAAGAAGAAGAAGAAGAAGGACAGTGTGGACACGGTGGCTATCAAGGTAGAGGAGGATGAGAAGAATGAAGCCAAGAAGTGAGAGAGACACGAGGACAGCTTCCTGGCGGTGGCAGCTGGGGCATCCTGGACTCCACGCTCCTTCAGAGCCAATCAGGGGCTGGGACCAGACCCAGGTGTCCTGCCTCCCAGTCTGGACTCTGCCCCTTTCACCATGTCCACCTGGCCGCTCAACAAAGCAGGTCTGGGGCCACTGTCCCTCTGCAGATCCAGAGCAGCCTCGCACCCCAGACACGCCTGTCTCACCCCTTTGGCCAGAAACAGCAGTGGTGCTAACGGAGTGATACGCTGTGGGATCACCCCGGAAAGGCCTGTGAACTATGTGAACCGGACGAGCAACCGGGAGCGGCGGCAGCAGGCGGTTCTCAGGCCTTGCTGGACAGCAATCCTGGGGCGAGGGGTCAGCCCAGACCTCGCAAGGGCTCTGGTCCAGCGAGGTGGGCAGAGGTGGCCAGAAGCAGGAGAACCCCCAGCCCGGCAGACTAAGCCCCTGGCAACAGGATGCACTTGGTTCACGCTCAGTGAGGGAGCAGAGGATGCTGGGGGTCAGCACGAGGCCGGCTCGGGGCTGGGCTGCAGCAGTCACCGGTGCAGGAGGCTGAAGCCGGGGGCCAGGGGAGGAGGGAAGAAGGCTGCTACCTGGGCCCCTCTAGGAATCCGGGGAATACCTGAGAAGTCCGCGGGCCCTTGGGCTGTGCTGCTGTGGGGGAGGCGTCAGGGCCCCAGGGGATCACTGAGGGGGCAGTTGGGGGTTGAGGCCGCCTCCTCTCCCACCCTCAGCAACAGGGCCCCGAAGCAATGAGAAGGCCCTGGGGATGAGGGATGCGGAGGGGCTTCCGAAGGGCAGGGAGCACCAGCGGGGCATCCACCGGGCCTGGGGACCAAGGAGATTCCAGAGGTTTCCGGGCCAGGGGCCTGCAGAGATTAGTAAATAAAGCGGAGCGCCTTCCATCCCCGACCGATCTGGAGCAAAGGTGACAGCGGCAGAGGCGGGCTGACCGTCCCTCCCCTGGCTTCTCCGAGCCCGACTGGGGGGAGCGGGCGGGAGTCAGGTGGCCAAGAGCAAAGGGCAGCTTTGGTTTCCACAGGCCTTCGAGGGTCTGAGCCCAGTGCTGGGTGTGTTCTCGCCACGGCCAGGAGCCCGGCCAGGTCAAGAAGAGCCCGACTCCCATTAAATTAACAGAACGAATACCTTCCACTCCGGGCCCCACAGCTGCCCCTCCCAGCCTCACGCAGTCCGGCAGCGCCCGCTTTGGCCTGGGCAGGGCATTCCAGGCCCTCCATCACCTGACCCCGATGTCATCCCTACACACACTCCCCCACCTTCTGCAGGAGCCACCCCCCCTCTGGACGGAGGCCAGTCCTGGGCTCTGCCCTTTCGGTGCCCAAGCCCCCACCCCACCCATCTTGTTCAGCCATCTCCCACGCGAGCAGCCGAGGGCGAGCGCCTCCGGGACCAGGAAGGAGGCTACGTGAGGAAGAGAACTGTTTAATTGAGCACCTGTCTCGGCCCTGCCGGGTGGGACAGGAGAGTGGACCTGCAGTGTCCTGGACGAGGACGATGAGGGGGCCTGGGGCCAGAGGGCGCCCCCAGAGATGGCCTGGGGGCATCAGCAGGCAGCAAGGAGGCTGAGGGGCAGCGCCAGCGCCAGGAGCAGGGCCCTGGACGGGGCCGGCAGAGCCTGCCCGTTGATGCGCTTCCAGATCCAGTGCTGGTAGGTGGAGATGCGCAGGTAGATGGGCGGGGCCTCGTTCTGGCCGCAGCCGGGGCCCCAGCTCACTATCCCCACCAGGAACCACGTGTCCTGCACAGGACAGGACAGGGGCTCCCCGCTGGTCTCCTGTGGGAGGTGGGAGGACAGAAGGGTCAGGGAGGCCAGATGTGGCCCGAAGGAGAGGGGACCCAGCTCAGGGACGAGCAGGGTGCTTCACACAGATCTTCCCACACCCTGAGTGTCACCGGCTAAGCAGGACCCAGAAGGCCTCCCACAGAGGGTGCATCTCCGTGCTCTCTGGGGTCAGTCCTCCACC